AATCCAGGAAGCTTGATCTGGACTTGTCGAAGCATCGGCGTAGCATCTGGATCCTTGTACTAATCCTGGTAAATGAATGGTGTATCTGCATGTGGATAGTGTTGCGTGCCTGTGCGTCGGGAGGTAGCATGCATTGTTATGGTGTGCTTGACGCTGGTCCATCACATGCCGACTGTGCCCTGCTATTGAAGCTATCAGACCTGCATTGGAAGAAGTAGGGAGTCCAAGCGTGTGTGTAGAGTAGGAGTGCGTACTGTGTGTGCGTGAGTTGTCTCGGCAGAAGTGTTTGGAGTCTGCTCGTGCAGCGGGCAGATGCCTCATTCATGTTTGAGCCACGGTCGATGCGGATGTCCACGTTCTCTAGTTTTTACGTGACAAGCCAATGCTCCTGTTAGTCTCTACTCCTAAAAAGAGTAAACTGGACCCGTTCACCCATCCGCTACTCCCCGCCGATGCCGCCGCCCTGCCCCTGCCAACAACGGCGGCCCGACCCTGCCCCGTCACGCCGCCATCCCTTCCTCCCCCGCCGACCCCTGCTGCTCCCTCCGTAGTCCGTACAATTGGCGTCGACAGGAAGCGCAGACCAGATCCAGCGCACAGCGCTCCGTGGCTCCTTCCCGGCTCCCCTCCCGTCAACCGCGGGACGACTCCAGCGGTAAGGTAAGGATGGCAGTGGCGGTGGGGGCTGCGAGGATTACAACTCGTGGGAGTTCGGCACGCTGCTCACGAATGCAGCACCGCCTCCTCCGCCAAGGAAGTAAGTCCAGCGCCTCTTCGCCCCTCAGCCCTCAGCAACCTCGCCACGACTCCCTGGTCCCTCTGCAAACTCACCTCCTCGATCATGCCCTGCGACGGGCCACCACTGCCACCGGCGCCGGCTCTCTGCGGTCCGTGCGCCGGGCCGCCTCCCGCAGGCCCCTTCCCTACAGACGAGCACCCACAAGGTATGCTATCACTTCTCCTCCCTTCCTGCTGTGCAAAACTGAATCTTTTGCCATCCTCGGTCCACTTTCTTAGGGCTTGGATTCTAGATTAAGCTAATATATTTTTGCGCTTCTCTGTATGTCCGATTGAGGTCTGGCATGATGAATTAGCCTTGGATTTCCTGTTGTAGTTGTTTGAATGATTGACTCATCCGTAGTTCTCCTGTGTCACACGGATTCATGTTGCTTCTGTTATTCTGGATGTTGATTGCATGTGCTTTCGTTTCTTTGGTTGTGTAATTCAGGGATAGGGCTATAAAAAACATGCTTGTCTTATGTCATGAGAAATTGGGCGTGGATTTCCTCTTGTGACTATGTTTTCTGACTGCTCGAATCATCCACAATGCTCCTATGTCACACGAATTCCTGTTGTGCTTCTCTTTTTCTAAATGCTGACTACATATGATTCCATTACTTTGGTTGATTTATATGTCCTTCACGTGCACCTGTTCATTCACAGTGCCCATCGTCTTCATTGGTGTGTGATAGTGTGAAACCAAAATTTCTAATACTATTGTAACTTTGATGAATTTTGTAGTGAATGCAGGTATCAATGTTCCTAATTACTAGCAGAAATCTTAATTCATTCATTTAACTCAGGGACAGTGCTATAGAAAAACTTGTTTGTCTTATTGTAACTTGTTCAATTACGTGGTTATCCTTCAGCTACTCTGTATTTTTAGTATTACAATATAAGATCAGATGACCAGAAAACCCTATTATGCGAAATGACTTTGTGATCCAGCTGCTTGAAAATATGAAGGCTGCCTCCCTGACATGTCTGTTTATTTAGTTCCATCAAGAATAGCACCATCCCTGCAAGGTGCTTGTTAAACTGAACTGCTACAATTCATCCTTTATGATTATTTGGCATGTGTTGTGGTGGATTATTGAGACTATATTTTATTGATAGTGAAGTTAATTTTATCTATGAACATATACTGAATTTGCTTTCTGAAACAAAATTTCCTCTAAACAAATGTAGCAACTTTGGCGCAGAGGTTTTTGGATAAGGTGTCCTACAGGCCAAGCCATCGTATGACACATTTAGCAACTAATATAGCACAGGTGACAGTAAATTCTCCTAGCAATGTGTTTATTCATTTCTCATAAGAAAATATGATTTCTTAGTATGTGTATTATAATGTGGGGCTATTCATTATCAATCCTTTGGTACCAAGAATTAAGAAAGTATTTTAGGAACATTGACTGGCTGCTAGCATGTGTGTGAGGTTGTTCGCTGTCTTGGCACTTCTGAAAAAATAAAGGGATTAGAAGGGCCTGGTTGCAGGAGCACAGGCTGACAACATTGCATATCAGTGTAGTGGGTGGAAAAAACATGGCATGAAAAGTTGTGGGAAAATGACTCTTTGTGAGAGGAGTCTTAGCTTTGCAAAATAAAGATTTCTGTATTTGTAAGTTCTATCTGAATTTTGCTTCATACATATTTTGTTTGCATGATCAGTCAATTTGTTTGGTCTAGAAGGTAGGTTGTCATTCACAATTTTAGAGTACTCGGTATTTTCAGATTGTGCAAAAAGTCTAATGGTAAGTGATTTAATAGTGTTTTTGTATTATGGGTTCTACCTTCAGGCTCTGGACCAGCAAGAGGAAGCTCATTATCCAAGAGGCAGAGGATACCGATTCTGTGAGCTGTTTAAGAGAAGCAAATAGCAGATTGCTCTACTCGCTATCATTCACATACATCGGTTTCTATTTTTGTCTACCAATTTTTTTTTTCTAATTCAAAATAGATATTTTTTTGTGCTTCATCCTAGATGTTGATCTAAGACCAAATATTGGACCGAGTTACTTATTAGTCTTCTAAATCATGGACTGATGCTAAATGGTCGAGTTGATTCTTTGATAGTCACCGGAATAGATATAATCCCTTACACATGATTGTAGTTATGAATTGGCTGGCCATTTTTCTGCAAGTATTATTGTCTGTATATACATGGCAACCAAGCAAAAGAGACGAGATTGAACTTATTTATTTGTCTATTGATTTGAACCCACTATTTTTCTCTTCAATTGTGCTGGAAATTTTAAGTCTAATGATCCATTATTTTTTTTTGCATACCTTACTGTGTTGAAAATTTTAAGGCTCCCAAAGCAACGCACGGGCATTTGCTAGTGTTAAGAAAAAGCAGCAACGACGATGGCATTGCAGCCTATGGTTCTTGCATCTAAATGATCGAATGCTTCATCTTGTGGTGTTTAGTTTCTTCTTTAACTTCACCACAGGAAGAAAGATCACTTGAGATAGCTATTTTAAGAGATATTCAAGCCTCCATGCATCCTCCTACTTCCTGAGGTGAAGATTAGAAGAGAGTGCAACAAAGTTACCCATGAGTTAGCTCAATTAGCAAAAAAAAAAAACAAACTGTGCAGTCTAGAGAGAAAATGCTCCATCTATTGTAACTCAGCTGCTGGCAGCGCTGATTGTAATTCCTCTTTAATTAACTAGAATCATACCCCGCGTTGCTGCGGGATTTTTTAAATAAATCTGGTATATATATAGCAGTATTATATGGTATTATGTATGCTATGTATATACTATATGGTATTATGTATACTATGTATATATATGAATTTGACTTGCATGTTATTGTATCAGATTTGACAAAAATCGGTAAGCTAATAGAAGAAAAATGAATAGAATATTTTATTACATTATAGAAGAATAGGTGATGAAACAAATAGCGTATGTAGATGACTTATATGTTAATAGATTAAAGATTAAAAATATTGCACATGATATAGATGATGTAGACATTTTTTTTAAGTAATAAGGGATGACATGGACTTAGTGGAGAATGATGTGGACACCTTGCATGAAAAGATAGAACATTTAATGGATTCTATTAATGGGGAATGATGTGGACACCTTGCATGAAGAGAAAAACAATCTAATGGGGTTTGGCAATTAATAAGGGATGATATGGACTTTTAGTGAGGAATGATGTTGACATATTTTATGAAGAGAAAAAAAGAACTATTTTTTTAAAAAAAAGATCAAAATGGTTCATTGCACGAGCAAAAGCTAACGTCTGGACGCCCAGTTCCCACAGGACTTCTATTATTATAAAAAATTGTTGCTGAAAACATTGAGGCCCGTTTGTTTCGCTGAAAAAATAAACCGAAACACTATTTTTGCTGATTTATTGTGAGAGAAAAAAACTTTTCCAGCTGAAAAAATGTTTAAAAAGTACGAATTATAAGAGAAGCGAACGGGGCCTGATTTGCATCAGCAATGCCAAAAAAAAATAACTACTGTCATCGGTAGTCCTATCCACATTCCCATTGTGTGTGTGTGTGTTTTTTTTTAGGGGAGCTTGCCCATTGTTGCCATAGCGAAGGTCGGCGATGCCCCCGGCTAACACAGAACAATTTCGCAAGTGGGGCCAAAGCCATCTTTGGCTAATTCTTTATGGGACCAGCATGACGTTAGTGGCTTCATCAGCCTGTTCGGCACGCATGAATTGGCTGGTTCGAGCTAGTGTTGAACCAACTAGCCAACCAGCTGCATCCAGCATCAAGTCAGCCTCCAGTCATTTCAAATCCGCTGAATAGCCATTTTAAATTCATACACAAAAAAAGACGCCAACAACAGTGATCATTCATAAATAGTCCACTTCTAGTTCATACCTAACAGTTCATCAACATTCACTGGTTCTTACATACAACCAACAAATGACTGTCCCTTTGTCCAATCCATACAACAAAATAATACAACATACACTAGGGTTAACAAATTAGCCATATATGCAACATATACAAAAATTCTGGACTTCATGAAGCCACTAACCAAACTACACACATACGTGAAATCTGCAGTTGCACATACACCGCCCGCCTTCGTCATACTCCTGCGATCAGTACCAATTCACACATAATGCATTCAGTAAATACCTAACTTAAATTGAACTACTCAAGTAGCTTCGTTACATCACCTTTTCTCAATCATATTCCAGTCCAGACAACAGTTGATATCAACTCCCTCACTGCAGTTGTTTATGTTCCACAATTTAGATCCACCCACTCCGATAGCTCATACGACAGCGCATTAGGTCCATACTTACGCAGCCACAAATAATTATCCATTGCAAAGCATGATATGATAATCATTGCTTGCTTTTTCCTCGTGAAGTAAGGAACCCGTTGCAGAATATGCCACCGTTCTTTGAGGCCCCCAAATCTCCGTTCAATTACATTGCGCAGCCTCGAGTGAATGTAGTTAAATTTCTCCTCACGTTCTAACGTCTCCAACTCTACGCCCCTAAAGTCGTTCATATAGTACCTTGTATTCCGGAAAGGAGTCATGTATCCTTGAATCTCCATGTATCCCGCGTCTGCCAGGTAGTAGCATCCTACAACAATTGAACCAATCTCACAATTAGTGCCAACAATGTCTTGCCAACTACCTACACACATGTTGCATCAATTATATTTGCAAGTCATCACGAACCTGCGGGTGGATGCGGGAACCATTTGTCGGCCTGACAGTCTTTTAGGACCGCCATGTCATGACATGCCCGCGCCTTTCCGGCACCCACGTAGGTGAAGCGGCCATCCATATCCACAACGGCGCAAACATTAATTGAAGTTTCTCCTTTCCTATTGAAGAAGTCAGCTTTGGCTTCCTGATTAACCTCAACCTTTATGTGGGTGCTATCTATAGCACCTATGCATCCATCAAACCATGGTGCATATTCAGCAAGTTTCTGGCTGACTCGTGGGTAGTTCCTATCTGCTGAAACTAGTATAGACTGTGTCCACCTATACATAATGTCGGTGTTTCGGACCAGGGGGTCCTCAACCAACTAGTGAATTTGTTCTGCGTGCTCCCGATCCGGATGGTGATGCAAAGAGACACAAGGTTTATACTGGTTCAGGCAATCGAGGCCCTACTTCCAGTCTGAGAGATCGATCTTGTATTCCTTGCACCGAGGTGCTTGTAGTAGGGGGTTACAAGCTAAAGGAGAGAAGGAGCTGGTCCTAGGTCTCGGCAGGGTGCCGTGCGGGCCGCTTGAGACGTTGCTCTCTGGCGGCAGGAGTGTGCGTGTGTGTTACAAGGTGTCCCCCGTCCCTAAAACAACCCAGGTCCTCTCCTTTTATAGCATGAAGGGAGGACTTGGGCGGTACATGTGCTGACTATACGGCGTCGTGTGAACAGAGGCGACGTGTCCCGGCCTGTGAGCCTGTTTCTCGTGGTGGCGTGGGCCGTCGGAGTGGTCCATCCCCTGAGTATCTGGGCGGCGTGGTCATCCCATCCGGTCTGTCAGGCGCCGTGGGAGCCCCGGAATGCCTCGGAGTGGATGCGGCGGCGAACGTGCAAGCCACTATGGACGGATCAGGCGCTGATGCCGAGGCTTGGTCGATGCCGAGGCCGCACCGCGGTGGGGGTCTCAGAGGCGCGAACCCCAAGATCGCCGAGGCCTCGGTTTCTGATGCCGAGGCCTTGAGCGGGCTGGCCGATCATGGGCACTGCTGTTTGGACACAAGTGGTCGGTAATCCCCCGTCGCACTTTTCCGGTCGGTATGGTGCCTGGTCAGGACACGCGTGGTAGGACACAGTGGTAGGACACGTTGGGCTCGCCTGGCCGCAGATGAGCGCCGATGCGACCTCGAAAGTCGCGTCGGCCATCCTGTGGCGTTGAGCCACCGTCCCACTGAGATTGCGGGAGTGGTTGAAGCATTAATGAGACATGACGAGTTGTTGGGAGGGTCGGCCGAGACGGGGGGCGACGGACCGTGGACGAGCCGGCCTCGAGCGACACGGAGAATGAGGCCTCGCGCGATACGGAGAATGAGGCCTCCGCCGAGGCCTTCCCTGGATAGCCTCGGGGCGAGACGGAGACGGCGGCCCCCCGCCGAGGCTCGGCGCCCCCGCCGAGGCTACCTTGGGGAGCCTCGCGTGAGGCGGAGTTCGTTCCGAGACCTCCCGCCGAGGCTCGAGGCGCAGGTGGAGGAGGGCTCGGTGCTGGCAGTGAGGGGCCCATGGCTTACCTTCTAGCTTTGTTTTGATGTTTGCTTGGGGTACCCGTTGCTAAGGTACCCGACAAGAGCCCCCCGAGCCTCGGGGTGAGTGCGTGCACTTTCCGAGGGTTCGCCGAGGCTGGGTTTATGCCCCGCCTCCGTGAGGAATTGGTTTGTTTTCGAGGTTCCGGTGGTGTGCGCGAAGTGAGCGCACTGCCGGGTGAAGTTTTGAGCCCTCGGAGGAGTGAAGTTACACCTCCAGGGCTTTTTTCTACTTCGCGCTTGAGTGGTCAGTTCTTATTGCATTTGCCAGAGCCCATAAGCGCAAGTTCGGGTTGAGGGGTCTCGACGAGGTTGCAAAAAGAGGCCTCTAGCCTCCGTGATGGAGCGAGAGGTTCGTCAGGGTCCCCCGACGTTGGGTATGTCCTCACGCTTCCTTTCGCCGGAAGGAGGGTGTGAATGTGTCACGCTACCCTCGATGGGCGCGAGCGTGGACACTTTCGGTGAGTCTGTTATCGTAGTCCGAGTGGAGGCCCGAACCCCGCTCGCTAGGGGACGGCTAGCGGTCCAGACGCACTCCAAAAGTACCGGAGAATTTCTCTAGTGGGTGCCGAGGCCGTTCACTGGGCCTCGGTGGCTCTCGTGCCTCCCTACGGTGAGATCCCATTCAGATACTTTCTCGTCGGTCTCGGACACGACTTAGGGCGCCTTGAAGCGATCGCTTCGTTCGGGCTGGGCCATTCAGAGGCTCGCCTCAAGTCGCCCCCGACTCTGTTCTGGGGCGGTTGTCGAAACCTCTTGGAAGCCCAGCTTTCGAACCCCTGGACCGTAACGGGCTCGGTGCCCTTTATCGTGTTTTTGTCTTGGTTTTTGGGTGCAAGAGGAGCCCTCGAGCCTCCGCCTGGAGCAAAGAGGACGGTCGGGGTCTCTGACTTTTTTTTCATTTGCCCCTCACATATCCTTTTTGTTCGGACGGAGGGTTCGCTTGCCGAGCCTGCTCGGTCTCTGCAAGATCGCAGGAGAGCCCCTAGCCTCTGCAGAGAGCGAGAGGGCCGCCGGGAGTTCCCCGACTTTTTATACGCCTCTGGCGTGTGAGGGTTTGTTTGCCGAGCCCATTCTGGTCTCGGCAAGGTCGCAGGAAGAGCCCCTAGCCTCTGCGCAGAGCGAGAGGGCCGTCGGGAGTTCCCCTGACTTTTTATATGCCCCTCGCGCGTGAGGGTTTGTTTGCCGAGCCCCCTTTGGGCGCGAGCCCGGTCGTGGGGTCTTGGCATATTTGCAGGAGGAGCCCCTAGCCTCTCATGATAGGGCGAGAAGGCCATCGGGGTTCCCCGACTTTTTATGCGACCTCGCGCTTCCTTTTCGCCGGAAGGAGGGTGGAATGTGCCTCGCTACCCTCGATGGGCACGAGCGGTGGCACTTCCGGTGAGTGTTATCGGGTAATCCGAGTGGAGGCCCAAACCCCGCTCGCTAGGGGACGGCTAGCGGTCCAGACACACTCCAAGAGTACCAGAGGATTTTCTAGTGGGTGCCGAGGCCGTTCGTTGGGCCTCGGTGGCTCGGGTGCCTCCCTACGGTGGGATCCCATTCGAATACTTTCTCCGCCGGTCTCGGACACGACTTTGGGCGCCCCAAGCGTTTCGCTCGCTTGGGTCTCGCCCCGAATATGCTCGCCCATGATGCCGCCTCGACTGTTATCCTGGGGTAGCTGTCGAAACCCTTTTGGGGTCCAAACCTTGAACCCTCGGATCGTAATAGGGCTCAGAGCCGGTTCCTTCCTATGAAAGGAACAGCCGCGGGAAATATTTTCCTATTGGCTCGGCCATGAGTGGCGCGCTTTTGAGGCATTTTATTGGGAGTCAAACGGTACTGTTGCCGTGAGTGGCCGATCGTGGCGTGGTGGATGGGACGTAAACCGTCCTCGCATTTAATGCGGGAGACGATGGTAGCGTGGGCGGTGAAATCGGCTCGTGGTTAACCGCGCGCGATTGGGGGAAATTTCGATTTCATCGCCGCTCATTTCGCCTTTCATCGTCTTACCTTGCTCTTGCATCGAGCCGCCGCTTCGCCGAGCCCGTCGCTAGAGCAAATGAAAGTGCCGAGAAGGAGAGGAGGAAGAGCGAGCCCATGGCCGGTGATATCGTTGTCGTTGAGGCGGACCCCTAGGATCCGTCGGACGTCACCGAGGAGATGCTCCAGTCGCTTGTCGACGGTGGGCTCCTCCGCCCGGTGACTGACTCCACCAGGCCAGAATGGATTGCTCCGTACGGCGAGCCGGAGCCGAGGCCTCGCGATGGCTATGTCGTAAGCTTCGTCTCCTTCCACGAGCATGGCCTCGGCGTCCGGCGGACGGTTCATGCGGGCGCCACGCACTACTACTACGGCGTGGAGCTCCACAATTTTAATCCCAACTCCGCTGCTCAAAGGGCTATCTTTTTGTTGCCGTCTGCGAGGGTATTTAGGGATCGCGCCCCATTGGGAGTTGTGGCTCCACCTGTTCCGGGCGGGGCATACTACAAAGCCCGCTTCGGGCACGTCGGGAAGAGGAAGGCGACAAGGGGCGGAGGGTGCACTCTCAAGTGCGCCAGACCGCCGCCCTCTACATCCCGGCCCAACTCACGCCCCTCCAACCGCCGGTGGTACACAAGTTGGTTTTATCTTCAGAACGACGACGGAGGGGCTCCCCTCACACCGGGCGGATTGTGGGAGTTGCCCGGAGAAGTGGAAGTGGGGCGTCCCAAAGGTCGACCAGCCCAAGCTAGAGCCACTCTGGAGGGGCCGGGCGAGGCTCAAGGGGCCATGGCCTCACCTGTGGCTGTGGTTGTGGCCGCTGCTCCACCACCGGAGGGTCTTTGCCGCCGATGGCTCGTGGGCGGCGGGCTGTTCGAGATGAGGCCGAGTGAGCCCATTGAGGGCACCCGGATGTCCTCTTTTCGCCTTTTCGAGGAGGAGATTCTTCGTCGGGTGGGGAGACGGTAGAGGCGAAGGTGAGGGGCGCAACTTGACCCCTATCGCGATGCGGCCGTCATGGGTACCTCTCATTGTAAGTCGTGGCGCCGCTGAAGCCTCCGACATTCCTCGCCTCCCCCTACCCCTTGATCCCTTATGCGTGTTTGTCATTCCTTTAGGGGATGAGGGACGTGCGCTCCTCTCCACCGCCCGTTCTTGAGGACGCGGAGCGGCGGGCGGTCAACCGTGCTCACACCGATGCGCAGAAGAGGCGAAAGGACGCCAAGGCGGCGAAGCGCACGAAGCACATCCTCGCGCGCGAGGAGCTGGATAAGCGCCGCCGTCAACAACAGAAGGACGGTCTTCCGCTGGAGGAATCCCCATCGACGTCGTTGTCGACGGAGGCCTCGGACGGGGACGAGAAGGTTGAAGGAGGGCGAGGTCCCCTGGACCACCTTCCTGATGTCGTGGAGGTGGCGCCGGTGTCGGAAGCATCCGGCACCCCGGAAGGGGAGGAGAAGCGGACCTGTGGGCCGGCGGATGCCCGCCCGGCCGAGGCCGACACGCCCGAGGCGCGGCGCGTGGCGTTAAACGCGTC